ATATCATCCTCTCATAGGCTGTTGTTCACGTCATTTGAGAATCGCTTAAAAATGACAATTTTAAACCCCCCTGTGGTTGTTTCATAGCATGTTTACACCATTCCTTGTGTTTTAAATACCACACTGCATTTGTCATCCAATAAAACAGGGAAAAAACTAAAATTTCATTTTATAAAAACGGCTATGTGGAAACTATTAGACTATACAGAGATAGTCTAATAGTTTCCACAGAGCCTGAGTTAGAATATTCCTTTATTCCTCTTTGATTTTGGACATTTTCCTGAGTTCAACTTTTACACATCGTTGATTGAAGTGAATAACCCTGGCCTACCTCACATTGTTTTAAGTTCTTTGAAATGTATAAAATCATATTTTAATGATATTTTGTGTGATTTGGCTCTGAGAGGGAAAAGCCATTACAACCTATAGAAAAGGCAACCACACATGAATCAACATTTTTGCTTTTCTTGTTTCAGAGGATAAAGAAAATGCCATCATCACCTAGCAATTCATTCACATGACAGCCTATTTCTGCTGAGAATGAATGAACAAAAAAATGCAGTACTGCTCTGTTTGTGGTAAACGGCAAAGTAAAATACTTTCAAAACACGTGAAAAAAACACGTGAATTTCATTTATCATGCAAGAAAATTCTGTGCAGATACTAAATAAATGTCCGCCTTTAATAAGAAGAAAAAAGATTTTTGCTGAAGAGCAACAAGAATGAAGAGAGATTTCTATTTACTAATCTGACCTGATGAAAGCTGCACAAATTAGCATGCCCGCCTTACCTGGAAAAAAAAGCATGACCTTCAAGTTTTCAGATGGCACAAAATTAGTTTCAACCACAGTGTGTGAGATGCCAACCACCACACCACATCCAACTGCTTTTTCGTTACTTATATATTATACCATCTATGGAATGTACTTAAATATACTGAGATAATTTAGTTTTGTAAAAGTAAGGATGGATTTAGCTTTGTGGTTTTACGTGTAGCCAGGGAAAAAGTTCTTTAACCCTGCATTCATGTTTAATGGCCACCAGTGTGACTGACAAGTCATTAACCAATAAGTATGCAGTTTTCACAGTTAAACCCACTCCTTAAAAAAATATCAAGATGGAGATGGTGAAAATTTTCATGGGAATGGGAATTCAGAATCTAATGGGTCATATGAGAATGAGTACACTCTGGCACATGTTAGATGAAAATTCATGAAATTTCAGAAATGTAATGTGTGCAGTTTTTTATTCATTATTGTGTGAGCAGCATGGTGGTGTGGTGGTTAGCAGTGTTACCTTATAGCAGGAAAGTCCTGGGATTGAACATGGTCTGGGGCTTTTCTGGAGTTTGCAAGTTCTACCTGCGCCTGTTAGGGTTCTTTGCTGGACCTCTGGCTTCCTCTCACAGGCCAAAGACTGTGAGGAAATGTAGAATAACTTCGGTTATTTTCAATTGGCTGTAGAGTGGTGACCTGTTCGTGTTGTACCCTGCCTCTCACTAGCAACAGCTCAACAGCTGGGATAAGCTCAATTTCCTTCGTGACTCTGTGGACAGATGTTAAAAGCTTATCCAAAATTGACATGAGGTTTCTTTTATACTTATTTCACATATACTGTTTATAAATGATGGACATAACTCATGGTTGAAAAGTGAAACCAGTGTAGTTGTATCTTAAGCCTGCATCCTTTGTAACGGTGAGATAGGGGTGATTATTGTCACTGCAAAACTATACAACCAGGTTGTATAGAAGTCTATGGCAAAGAGCTCTCACTGCCACTGTCCACCTTCCTGATGGGTTTATGGGCTCATTAGTTTCAAGTCATATGAATACAACAGGAAGTTTTATATTTTTTACATTATGATAAATCATATGCCTATGAGCACACAAAGTGCCTTAGTTTCTCTGTCAGCGCAATTACGTCAGGTTTCCAGAAGTAAAAATTGTAAATGTGACCCGCTCATCTTCCCACTTCACAAACAAATTGGCAATATCACATCTTTTATACACAGTGAGTGCTATTACTGTTTTTATCTTCTGTGTGTTTCCATCGCATCCATAGATTTGGACTTCTTAAAGCAGAACTCCATCACAAGCAACAGCAGCATAAACTCAGATTTTTCCAGTTTTTTTGAGAAAAATAAAACGTAATAATGCTACGTCTTTTAAAAAAACCCACAATTTTTATTTGTTATTTAACGGCAGATTCGTCAATACATTAATTATACATTAATGTATACAATTAATACATTGATTAAAAAAAAGATGATCAGGATAAAACTTTTGAACACATAGATTTACATTTATATGTTCAAATACAAAATTAAGGAGTAAAGTTATCACCAACTGATGCTTTAAGCATTTCAGGGGCACAGTCCAGCTTCCACAGTCATTATGATTCCACCAATGTGAGCAAACACAAATGTAATTTAGACACCAGAAATATTATTTCAATTCAGCAAAATAAATATACATAGTGGAATTTAATAAATGCTGCCAGTCTTGCACTTTTAAAAAACTTTTAAACAGAACTCTCTCGGTGAATATATTTGCAGTATTAATTTCGGCATTATTTTCTTGTGCAACTGTCGGCATGACAGTTACACAACTGTAACTGTCAATTTTCAGGAGCCTTGTTGAGTTGAACATTTTTTTTATTTCATTCTTAGCTTTAACTGAAAGATCAAAAATTGTCCTCTTCAATGTTCCCTTTCTGGTTACAAAATGTGACAGTGATGCCAAGGGAAAGTTATCAATCACTGACAAATAATACATGAACAACCAACAGGCAGAAACGTACGCTCGAAGAGTGAAAGTGAACATCTAGAACACTTCAGAGAGGCTTAAGCTGATGAGGGTGTAGCTTTTCATTTCAGGACGAAATAATGATGGAAATAGGCTCTCCTAGGGTTGATTTTTAACAGCGCAGATGCACACTGCACCAGCAGCACACACTGCAGCAAGGGCTGTAACTACTGTAGAGATGAAGAGGGGAACCATTATATACTGTAAGTGCACATTGAGCTGGAGTAACAATTAAGGAGTTTATTAATTCATCAGTTATCCCAGGCCACCCAGTGGAAACGACTTATGCTCACAGACTGTGACAGGAATCTGTTTATTATCAGCATGTTAACTAATTAAGGTTCTCAGATGCCCATTAAACTTTATTAAGGTCCATAAACCAGTTGACTTGTGTAAGATCTATTAGGAGAGCACATGTAGGAATTTTGTTTTTTATGCTTTGAATTTTGAACGAGTGCATTTTAACACAAATCCAATTATCTGCAGGTAATCAGAAACATATTTGCGCTCTTACAGTACAATATCTGCAGTCGCCACTGATTCATTCTTAACACTTTCCATGGTTGTGTGGAGGCACTCAGCATTTGGTTAAGGTCAGGGAGAGATTATGGTCTTTGTTCACTATAGAAAAAAGGCAACAGAGACATGAAGCACGATTTACTTTATTCACATTTGACCAAAGCCATAATCTTTCCCTTACTGCAGTATCTAATTTCTTTTTTTTTTCTATTTTTTTCTTATTTTCTTTTTTGCCCTCTGGGCAGAAAAACGAACACACTGTAAACATAACACTGACCTATGCCGTCATCGTAGTTGATTTCGTGAGCTTTTTGGCACACAGTTGCCAGTTAATTAAACAATTAAGCAAATCGAGCGCAGCACTAGTCCTCATTTAAAGTCATGCTTCTGGCCACCTGACATATTTAAGTCTACCATCTTTCTTGATTTTTGCTCTGCTTTGGTTCTCCATTAACTCTGGGTTAGCAGTGGTGCCTTGACGCATTGGATGAGGCAAAACTGTACTGCTTGATTATGCTATTATGTTATCTTGACTATTTAGCATGGTCAACTTAACAAACATCATGCATTTACTTAAAAAAAATAGTCCTTTATTTAAAATTCAAATAAAAGACAAAAAATAAAGGCATAGAGTTGGTTCGGGATACCAGGATCTCGTACAGGACAGAATAGGGAGTGTTTTTGACCATAAAGCCTTTCTTGTAAAGGCAACCGGCCAGAAGCTTCCATCACAAGATATAAGAAGTTACACACAGGGCACAACAAAAGGCCCAGGCAGCAGAGGATTTCTGCGCCTTCTGAGATCTGCGCGGTAATCACAGGAAGAGTGATGGAAAGCTGAAGCAATCAACCGCCACCTCGGCTGCACACTGCTGAAAGCAGATTGGTTGAGAGAGCCTTGGAGACAAAAGCAGCTGAAAGCAATCATTAATGGTCCTTCTGCTGACTCACCTAAAGAAACCTTTAAGGACTTTTACTTCTTCCTATTGTTGACTAAAAGCTCTCGTTTCTTAATTTAAGCTTGTGCTGAAATAAACAGCACGAAACTTTTGGCTTCTACAGAGGGTCAAAAGCAAAATACCACCAAACAAAAGGAGAGCTTCACAGCAAAAAGATTAATGCAAAAGAATTGTTTTATTAGATTTGTCTTGCTTTCATTGTGGTTGAAAGCCAAATTCCTACCTGAAATAAGTCTGACTGCCCGGCGTAACTGAACACGGAGAAGAAAGTGTCCTATTAAAACAGTTGGCATGAATCATATTTCCCTGACAAATGTGTTTTATTCTGTTTTCGCTTGTTGATCGATTAAGTTTAGCTACCAAAACTCAGTTGGGTATAGAAAAACATCATGGTTTCACTTTTAAACAAGCCCCTGTGACCTGATGCGTCACTACACCAAAGGACACCCTGTACTTATCTCACAACTTGAGCGTCAATGTGCCAGGAATGAGATCCAACTGAAAGCAGACTCCTCACATTTTCTTTGTGTCCTTTCAATCAGTTTGTTTTTGTTTATTTGTATGTTTTGTGCTCATTTTGTATCTTTTTGTGCTACTGTGGTTTAGCTGCATGTCTTTGTGGATCATTTGATCTTTTTCTCTTCATGGTAATTTAAAGCCCTTTGTGGTAATTTTCTGTGTTCGTGGGCCTCGTTTAGTAAAATTCTGAAGGTTAAGCCTGCGAGGTGATGTGGCTTGTGGCCACTTCAGCAATTTTTAAATCAATTTTAAATTACTTTGTTTGATTAAGGAATTTCCAATAGCATTGTTTTAGGCAATCGGTGACCTACATTACTGCTATCCCTCACGTATCCTGGAACAATTTGGTCCAGAAAAGACATTCCCCATTACTTAGCAATACAAATACTTGGTTGATGACAAGCTACACAGGTAACAGGCATACGGTTTACTCTCAAAAGGCAGATGTCTTTGAATGCAACCGCTGTCATGGGAAAAAACATCAGTATGCTAAACATATTCCGACAAGTGAAAGTCTGAAAAGTACTTTTGAGATGTTTTAGTGTTCCTCTCTGAGGCTGCTTGAGTGACAGGAACATACAGTAGCGATAGGGAACATTTCAAGTCTCTCTTTCATCTGGACGGGGACACAGCACTTCCAGCGAACGTGAACCATTTCCAAAGTCTTATTTTCCTCTCTATGTTGGGATCCATTTCCATCTATCATTTTTCAACATTTTGGCAAGATCCAACTGATGCAGCAGCAATGTTTTGATTATACTGTGACAACACATTATGAAGAAGTCAGTAAGCTTACAATCTTCTTTTCTTTTTTTTTCTTTTTTCTTTTGTTTTTTTCTTTTTTACAGAGGAAACACAAGAAAGCCAGAAAATGTTGAGTATTGCCATCCACCAACTAGGTTTCCTTTCTCCAGCTTTAGGTAGACTTTGTCCTCTTTTTCAAGATAGAGCAGAACTCCATTAGTGGCTGCCTCGCGAGTTACATCTTTGTCACCCGCAAAGGCAGAGATGACTGGTTTCCCATTCAACATCAAGTTCACCTGGATGATCCAACAGAAGTAACAATTAGCAAGAGTACAGCAGGAAAAACGGAATCTAAGATGTGGGTCAGCATAGTTTATTTCTTATTTGTAATTATGTCACTTGACCTCTTACATGGAGACGGTAATGTTAAACCCACTATACAAACACTTAAGTGCACTTACTGTGTACAGAGTGGAAGAGGGAGGAATATAAAGTCTTTTCTCCTTTTTTTTTTAACCCCTTTTGCAGCAGTGAATATTTTTTAAAGGCAATATTGAGATGTACATGAGATTATATCTGCATGTGTTTTATAAGGTAGCTACAGTGGCTAACAAACAGTGCAAAATTGACTTTAGGAGCACTTTGCCTTTTGGATCGCTTTATCCTCTAATGTTTTTAGCACCTCGTCATGTGTCAATCAGCACTATCATTTTTGTGTTAATGGTAGTTGCTGCAACCATCAAGGAACTGTTGCAAAGTTAAATAAAGTTAACTTTATTTAAAAGCTGACTTTCTTCTAGAGTTTAGCTTGGGACTGGTCTGCTTTGCACTGACAGCAGTTCTTTCACCAATTATCACTCAATGCCACTGAATGTCATTGATTGTCTGTGGTCAATCGTCTTTAAATATGAAGATGCTAATTATGGCAGATATATGCTGATTAGTGAGATTAGAGGGCTACCTACACATTACACCTACAGGAGCGGCTCAGCCCTGGAAACCCATACCACAAAGCTCCCCGCAGATTTTTTTTTTTTCCCCTTTTGGCTGTCCCGTTTGGCTCTTTTGCCATCAGAATTATTGTCTAAAGGCGAAGAAAGATGCCCAACGGATGCCCGGCAGATTTTAATGCCAGACGAGGTTTGAAACTCTGCAGTTACTGAGTCAGTGTGTTGGTGGCTTTTAGGCACCATTATAACTCAGTCATTTAAATGGTTTGTTGTGATTCCTAAATGCTTCCACTTTTTAATAATGCCACTTAAAGATGATTGTGGAATATCTTGGAGGGAAATTTTTTCACAAACTTACCTTTTTCCACAGCGGCATCCTATCGCAGTATTCAAATTCAGTGAATTCTGTAGAACGACTCATTCTTTGGCAAATGTTTGTAAAGGCAGTCTGCACGGCTATGTGTTTGATTGTATACACTTGTGACAATGGCAGTGAAAACACTATTAAGAGGTCTGGTCCAATACTTTTATCTGTATAGCTTATCTGTACTTTGTGTCAACGTAATATTGCACAGCTTTGATATAATGTATAAGTGAACCTGATTAAAATACTAATTTGTTAAGTGACGAGATCATTTTAGAAGCTAGCCAACTAGCGTTTCTACTTAAATGTAAACGCTAGTTCGTTATTTCGTGAGGAAGTTTTCAAGCAACAGTTTCAATAAGCAAGGACGCTACAGTCTGCTAGCTACAATTTAGTTGAGTCTGTTTTGCGCTAGTTGATGATTAGTAGACTTCATTTCCAAGGTAACATTTGCTATTGTTGCTCACTGTTGTCACTCTATTGGAGTGGAAGACTTATTAAATGAGGCATCAGAGAGCCAGAATTAACATCATATTGTTCTGACATAAAAGCAGTCTACAGGTTCTGAGAGAAGTTACGTTACTACTCATCCATACACTGACAACTGGCAAAGCACTTTATATAAGGAAAATTCTCTGTAGTGCTCTATTGAAAAAGTAAAAGGTATCAAATACCCCACCAAAACTCAAAAAGAGACAATTACTCTTCAAAGTAATGAAATAAAGGAGTAAAACATTAAAAATGTTCAAATTAGAAAAACAAAACTTTTAGCAACATTAATTTTTCTTTTGCTTTTACAAGAACGCTGGCTTGCCAGTAATGCAAACTCGGGTGTTACTAACTCTCAAACAACCAAAATTGTAAGGGGGAAGAAATGCTGCACTAGTTTCCTGTTTTCTGTTCTAAGCAGCATCGCTGGGGGCAAAGGAACATCAAGCAAATTGGTTACAGATGTGCTCATAGACACATGAATTTTGCCTATCAGAATCCTCCAAAAAATTGTTATCGCACCAAAGAAAATCATGTGTGCTGATGGGGATAAAATCTCTCCCTTAAAATCATCTTCATCATAATACTTTAATGGAGGAATCACTAGGTGAGATAGTGTGATCCAGATTAACCTAAAATCAGAATTTGACAGCAAATTACTTATTAAGAAGCTTCAAACTGAGGCAATACAAAGGCTCATGATACTAGTGAAACAAATGCACTGACATGGGAATGTAGCACGTGTATCTGAGAAAACCAAGAGCAGCAATGATGCATATCACCAACTACTGTGTGTTACCTTCCTAGTTCTTTTTTTTTTTTTCACTTTAGCTACTTAATATTCTTATCAAGGCGGATGAACTTTGGCATTTGTACAATTAAATATTTGCAGAGGTAATTGTATTTTAAGCCATTATATTTCAACATGGTCATTTTAAATTCAAATGAAATTCTCGTTAGTTAGTCACCGAAAATATAACCTTGGCATCGAGCAGGTTTATTCAAACCTTTAACCTAACACATTTTTTCAAGTCATATCAGTATGAGGTGTTTGTGCTTTTTGTTTAATGTGTGTGGGTGTGGAAATGCGGTGGTGGTGATTCATGGAATAAAACAATTAATCCAATCAATGAGGTTTTGATAGTGAGACAGCATTTTTTTTTCAAATGTCGCTGAATGTTTTCTATTGCAGATTACATGCAAAAATCTATTAAATAAATAAGTAAATAGAAATAATTATCTTAAAATGAATTTTAGGTCCACCTTGCCTTCATTAGTAGTTGTTCGTAGTATTAGTTGGTGCCAGTGCTTTTCTATTGAGATTTTGTGTGATGGGATTTGGAGTCAGTGGTAGTGTCCGAATAATAAATTGGAATAATAATGCAATTTATTGTTTTCCCTTTTCCAGAAGTAAGGTGTTCTTCCCTGCGCAAATAATTTCTTTATTGTCCCAGAGAAAGATATTTTGTCCCAGCCAGACACTGAAATGGGGTTTTACAATTGAGTCAACTGCACAGATGTGTAAAATGAACATAAAGTGATACCTGTATGGTTTGGCTCTGGTACACTTTAATCACGTGGAAGTTAAAACTGTAGACTCCTTTCCTCGGGGACAGAAATACTGATTCAAATGTGAAGTAGTTTCCTATATTCACAAGAACCTGTGAAAGGAGGGAGGAAACAAAGAATGCGACAAAGGTGTTTATATACTCAGCACTTCAATAAAGGTTTTAATTTCAAATGGGCTTTGGGATTAAATATTTAAATAGGACATCAGCCAAGCACACTTCACTGTTGTGGCTACCAGGTCGCTTTCCTGATCAGACACAAAGTGAGTGTGACACACTTCAAAAAACATTTAATTCAGGCTTCCTTCTCGAGAGACCTAAACCTAGCAAGTGAATTTCCAACTCCACAAAAAAACAAGTGATGCGTAAACTAGATGATAGCCGGAACCCAACAACAGATTTTATAGATTAATTCCACTTTGCAGCAACAAAAACAAGAGAATTTCTTTTGTTCAGGTTTAAAGTGACTGAGAAACTATTTCTATTAAGATACAAACAGTAGAAATAACATTGGCTACTTCTGTATGTTAAAAACAATTCAAAATGAACACACTGGTATATGAAGGAGATATTTTCATCCTACGGTCATATAAACATAGAATATTTAAAATAATATGGAATGTGAACTTGACTGGGTTATCGCTGTAGGCATGAAAGGCTCCTGCAGAATCTCATACACTTGAATTCCACCTGTTAAGACTCAGCCAGGACCTTTGACATGGGTTGCTTTCATGGCAACAGCATGCATGATCCACACCAATCATATCTCTGGTAGTGCAGTATGACACCAAAAGATCACGTTATGTAATGTCATGTAAATGAGAGGGCAGAGGATCAGTTGTGTGATATGGTTACAAACACCTTACACTGCCCACCGATGCATGACTAATCGAGTTCTTGTTGTTTTCGCTGCTGCTTGATTTGTTTGGGTGTATTTATGTAGGTGAATGTGTGGATGGCGCGCGTAGTCGAGTGCGCGCGTGCGTGGCGGGGGTAGCTTGAGGCAAAATGATGGGTGCGTGTTCAGGCTCTGCAGGATGCCCGCCCTCAAACATAATCCAGTCACTTTCAAGCCTGCTTGCGTGTGATTATGTGCACTTGAACGGTGTCCACATGCCAACCGATGCCACCAGAAACCAGCTTCAAACTAAACTGAGCTGCAGCTATACTTAAAGCTGCAAACATGTTCTGTCAAAGTCAAAACTGGGCTTAAAGATAAATATTTGTACTAAAACAATAGACCCAAGTACCTTCGTTCATAGGGAAATTTTATGGAAAAGACAGGAAAGATTTTGAAAGTGCTATTAATATATATTTAACCACTTTTGTCATTAGTGTTGTTCATGAAAAAAAAAATAAAAAACAAAAAACGGTCCTAACCTGATCGAAGTAGATTATTCTTGTTTTGTTGCTCATTTCCGACGGTTCGTGGTTGTTGCTCCGGACTGCAGAGAAAGCCACCTTGGAGTTGGCGGCGCGCACCGAGATGCCGAGCGGAGAGGATGAAGCCTTCCAGTCCGTTGCCGGATTAGAGTCGCAGACCACGAGACATTTGCCCTCCAGGACGATCGGTTCCGTGTCATTCTGAGCTCTCACAACCTCAGAGATCACAGTCCAGCTGAGCATCAGTAGGAGTGAAGTAACCATGGCTCTTCTCTGTCTGTGACAACTGTGGCAGCGCAGATTCAGAGACCGTCTCCTGCACCACACAAGTTTCCGTGTCCCTCCACTGCTCTCCCCCGCTGCAGACGCGTCTGACGCTGTAAAATTCGCTTACTGGATCCAAAGATGTGCCATATCCAAGTGAAACACAAACAAAAAAGCAGAATCCCTTTAAAGTCTAAATCTTCTTTTGAAGAAACCCCCCCCACAAAAAAACCCTGAAAAACACGAAAATCACCGATTGTTTTCTATGCGTCTCATTTTCAGGTAGACTTTATTAAAAGCTCGTGGATCAGAAAAAAGTAGACCATCCAGTGCGTGAGGGGATCAGTCGATAAATCGTCCATAGCCTTCACTCCCACTCCAAATAACGCGTCTGACAATATCTGTTCCGCAGTGATATGCTGCTTGTGTGCGCGCCCAGCCATCCACTTTACGCACGCACGTGTGCTAGAAGTTATAATTAACGGTCGCTGCGTAAATTCCCTAAAGCTTTCATTCCTCTATTTCCTCATTAAATAACCACAAAGCAAAGTATACATTCAACAAATGACCGTATTAATGATGAAAACTGAACAGACACTGAACATATATTGATAGTTCCTCCGGTCCTTTCCTCTGATCCAGAAACAAACTCCTTAAATAATTATCCCCAAACATATTTCTGATGATTTCACAGTTTTAAATTACTCTATGATGGAAGTACATCGCTGCATCTGTCACCAAGCAGGAGTTTCACTTCCCTGGTATCTCCCTGTCCACTCCGGCTGCAGGTTTCACTGTAATGTGGTGACTCATCATAATCTCATTGCACAGGTGGGCTGAATTTGACTCATGGTACTATGATCTTTCACATAAGTCATTGATGGGACTTTTATGTTGTTGCTATCATTCTTGAATCCAGCACTGTCTTCACTACTTGCAGCTTTAAAATTAAAAAATAAACAAATATATAAAAAAAATTCAACTTATTTCTGGATCTGGAAGGCAAAAACATTCCACACCTACTTACAGACCTCTACTTTAATTTCACTAATTTTACCTGCATCTCTTGTGAGCTGAATGGCTGTTTTGATTTGGTATAACAGGATTTAGGCTTCATACATTTATCACTCAGCATCATCTGATGTAAAATTGTACTTGTCTGTCTTTGTATGCTGCATTAAATCAACAAGACACCCAAAGTGTCCTGAGAGAATATTGACAAGAGATTAGAGATGTGAGCACGTCACCTCTGTCCTTGTGTCACTATATGCTCTCCATAAAAAAACAGATCAATTTTAACGTCCTTCCTCTGACTTACAAAGTGTTACATGGCCTGTCTCTTTCAGTTTTAATTGAGCTTGCTGCACCTTAAAAGTCAACAATAAATCGCTTAGAGTTTCAGTTAGTTTCAAATTTTTCTGAGGAGAGGGTTCATAAGTCAAGTCAGGCTTTGCAAACTGATTAATTTAGCTACATGGATAAAGTACTATACAGATAATGAATCAGTTGAGACCATTACAGACAGTAGCCTTGCAATATACCACAGTGCAATTGCTAGATAGTGAAAGATGTAGACAGTGTCATTAAACTAAAATAAGCCTGAATTCTAAAAAGCACATTTGGTGTTAGGCTTTCATTTGCTTTATCATTAAATCCTCGCTTATGAAAGCCGCTTTTTGATCTTTGTGGCTGAACAACGAGAGATCACAAGGTTGCACTGTTAAAAATGATTAAATGGTAAAATCAAGCAAGCATCCAACAACCAAATGGAGCTGAACCCTGACACAAATCAGCCCGCTCTAATAGACAATATGGTGACAAGTGTTTAACATATTAATGCTGCTTAAAAACAGAACATGCTGAGAGCTTGTCATTAACAGATTTCAGGTGCAAAGCACATGGAAAAAAGCAGATATTCATAATATTTGTTCTGCCAATGGAACAAATGGAAAAAAAATATGATCTGGTTTTGTTTTGGACAGTTTTACAACACAAAAGAGCATGGTGACACCGTGTTGTTTTTTTTTAATCTGAAAACGGACTGAAATATTTGCTGTCTGGACTCAAAGCTGTAGATCTGTGAATGCAGATGAATCTGTCTTTACCTGTCAGGCATTTGGGGCATCAGTCCATTTGACAACCTGAGGACATCACTACCCTAACCTGAGTAGTAGCTGCCATTGTGTGAGATTTGTGTCATCACCAAGCTCTGACAAATGGTTGCGTGCCAAATGTCGTGCATGTCAATATGTTTCCATGGCAATGGAGTTTGCAGAGCTGGGAGAGGATGGCGTGTAATGTGCTAAGAACCACTTTCCTTTGAAATTTTTCACTAGGCAGCAAAGTTGTGCGGATTTTCTGTTGACAGACCGAGACTCCAACTTTAGCCATTAATACCTGAAGTGAATTTATGAACTAAAAGGAGCTTCGGGTTACTTTAGCATGATGAAAATTTTAATAAAGAGCTGTGAAATACAACTCCAGTGCATCATATTATGAAGAAAACATCGTTTGGTCTCTGGAGGCATTGTCCAATATTTCAGGGCTTCCGGTCTATCAGCAGGATATTTGGGCAAATGATTTGTGTTTTAACCAACAGTCACTGTTAACAAATGTAGATACATTATGAAAAAAGCACTTATTAAAATAAAGCTTCATTAGCCTTCTTAAACATGTTTGGTCAACTCAGAGTATAAACAGAAACCAGAAAACTTTCTGTACTCTGTTGCTCAGTTCTAAATATTCGTATATCTTTTTATAGAGATTATGAAAAAAGCAACTGCAGATGCAAATGATCAGCATAAAGTCAGAGAATGTGCTGTGTATAGTCAAGCTTCAGTGAGCTAAATATTCAAAGTACATCTGTGCATGTGAATGTTGTAAAAATCCCATTTCATGCTACTTTCTCCCCAAACTATTATTAATAATAATACAAATGCTGAATGTATAACACTGTCAGAGACGGATCAGCTGCCTAGGTGCCATATTTTTTTAAATTAAATTTAATCTTTATGTAATTTTAATTTAAAGTCATAGGTCTCTATTTTGTTGTCAAAAAATAAAGACTTGATGAAAGTGCATACTCTCATCTTTAATTCAAGCGGATTAACCCTTTAAAGCCAAGCATATCGTATTTGATACGTGTTTTTGTGAGTTTTTGAGACTTCTGCATCATCAAAAAATGATATAAATTTGACAGATTTTTAATAGCTAAATTGCAAAAATATGGTTAATGTAGCAAATGTGATACAAATTAAAACTTATACATGCAAATTAAAATTTGATATATATTTTTTTATACATTTTGTCTAAAGGTTCAACAAACACTTCATTATGAAAAAATTAAAGATTTCTGGCAGTTATTCCATGGTTCAAGTTTTAAAGGGTTAACATAAGATTTTCATTGGGAATGACCAATGGACGAACAGGATTGGAAATGAGTATGTCAGAGGGTCAGCTCAGGTTAAGCAGTTTGGAAACAAAGTTAAAGGAATAGCTGAGATGGGCAGTTCATATATTAGATAAAGGATGATTAGATAAAGGCAGATTACACAGAAGATGTAGTGCAGGAGGACACACAGATGGTTGGTATGACAAAAGGAGGATGAGGTAAGATGGAGTCAGCTGATCTGCTGCGGCGAAGAAAAAAACTGCATTTACTAGAACCTAGAATTGGGAACTGTGTTTATAAATGACTATAGTTCTGAAACAGCAGTGATGTTTCTGCAGGAAGCCTTGTATGCTCTCCCTTTTCAATTCTTAATAAAGAATTGAAACGAATAATGGCATTGGCATCAATAAAATCCTATCCATATCCGCCTCCTTTTTATTCCATTAAGAATGTATGCAAAGGACATAAAAAAGCAAACAAACAAAAAAGAAAACCTCCCTGAGCTAATGATTTTGTGGGCTGCTTACTAAAGCAGACCTGTTGGCTTGTTTGTTAATGGAATTTCGAGTTCACACAGTTTATTAAAAATAAGCCGATGTGTTATTGTCTCATAAGTGTCCTCAAAGCGCCCCCTGTTTATGAAGCTGTTTACACATTGTGAATAAAACAAAAATGTCGGTGACACACAGTTAACGAGTTACAGTAGCTTCCTCTAGTTTGCACTCTCCATTCCCACATAGGTTAACGCTGTCAGGTAACTTTGCCACTGAGATGCAAAGCAGAGGGTGAATTTGAGTGGGCCTGTATCTAGAAGTAAATGTTCAATATATTTCTTTCTTGCAATGCCACATGACTCACAGTTGGATCACTTCGATAGTTTGGATCGGCATGAAAAGTCTCCTGGTTAAATGATCACAGAATATATCTACTTCTTTAAATACAAAGCCAAAGGTAAAGTCTTCACGTAAACATCCAGTCACCGAGCTTAAAGCTGAAGCTATCTTTGCGCAGGCTGTGCACACAAGTGACTGTTTGGATGTTCTCTCAGAGATTTGTGTTCGAAACGTCTGTGTCACCTCTCCAGTGTGAATTATTTGAATTAGAATTTTTCTTTTTATGAGAAGTGGAACTCATGATTGCTCTCATAATCCTTCTTTCACTTTCTCGCCACGATGATTTCTAAATTATTTTCGAGAAAATGAATTATTGTATATTTTGTTGGATATCCACGAAAAATCTTTTCAAGTGTCTCTGCCAGCGGAACAAAACCAAGACCTCCAAGGTCAAGAGACTCAAGGCCCCTTCTTTGTTCGCTGGGACATAATTGTAAATTTGATTGAAGAAGCATTTGAATGTGGAAATGTTGTGGAAAAAGAATCAATTTTTCGGAAATAACTGTATACAGCCTTTGTCTTTCACTCAGTCGTGTTTGGAGGGGGGGAATCACCAGCAGCTATTAGAGTACCTGGGTCTGACCTTGCTGTTCCCATCAGTAGTGACGGCCGTGCTCCTGCTGTGAAAAGCCCTTCACAATGGAACACATATAACATTATCTCAAACGTGTCATGTTGTAAATCAGTGTCAGGCAGAGATGAACTTTAGTAATTCAGTGTTAGAAAAACCTGACGAATCTAAAACACTTTTCATCAGTTTCAGCAGACCACGGTGCAACTAAACTCACCCTAAAGATGAGATGTCTCTACAAATGCTTAACCCTGTAAGACCCAGCCATCAAAAAATAGCCAGAAAATTTTTGTAACTGAGATGTTTATTAACCCTTGTCTTTATGCATGTTCAATCATCCAGGTAAGTAAATCCCAAAAGGTTGATTCTGTTCATCTGGATGTAGCGTTTTCAGTGGGAGAAACGTTTCGTCATTTTTTGTATCGCATTTGATACATTGGGTGTTTTTGGCAATTTTTTGTTAACAACGTTGTTAATTTTAGGCCAAAGAAGAGTTTTGTCCATAACATTTTGAAATTATGGCAAGTATATATATTGTTGATGAGATAGAGGTCTCAGAAACTAATGTAGCAA